CTCAGTGCAAAATGGAGCTGACCATGGTTACTGCTTCACGTGACTTGGGGCAGACAGAAGACATGGGACGGAGCCTGGGGTCTGTGTTCACAGCTGTTATCCATTGTGTACAAAGACTTTAGCTGCCAGGGGCTTCACCCCGGCCCAAGTCCCCCCTCCCCCTTCTTTCTGTTCCTCTTCTGCCCCTCCCTCTGGTTCTTTCTGGTGCTGTGATTTAAACCCTGTGCCTCAGGCACAGCACTGAGCCAACCCCAGTCTAGTGACTGCTCACTGTGTAGAACTTTGAAGAGCACTATCATTTGTGGCTCTCTGTCCTCGAGAGGTAAATGCTGCTGCCACCAATATTTCCTGTGGCCCAGTGTTCTCCATCAACACTCACCGCCTGGCAGGCCAAGGTCACCTCCAGGGAGGCGAAAGGCATAGTGGACATAGGCAGCCAGCAGTGGGCAGTGCCCACGGGAATCTTGGACGGCCTCCAGGTTCCGGTGCACAAGACTGGCTACATGAGCCATAGCTTCAAAGGCCCCTCGACCCAGGTTCACTGTCGGACAGAGCAAAGGTCAAGTTCTACAGCCTGAGGCCCCTCAGGTCCCCAGTCATTTTCCAGAGAAGAGAAGTGAACGTAAGGGGTCACATGTCGTTCATCTAGGATCTTAAAGGACCTGCACAGGGGTCACCGTCATCTGGGAGAAACTCAGGCCAGAGAAGTGATGGACTATGGGAAGAAACTCCGGGTTGGGGGAAGAGACCGCAGTGACTCACCCATCTGGCCACAAATGATCGGTGGCCGCACAACCAAGCGGACAAGCTTGTCTAGCACGTGGTGGGAAAAGGCCACAAGGGGCTCTGGGCTGGCAAGGCGCAGGGCCGCTAGGCTGGCTCGCAACTCCTGCTCCATGGTGGCCTCGCTCAGCACTGTCTCCCTGAGGCGGAATGGAAAGATCCCTTCCTCTAGAACATGTACCAGGGTGAAGAACTTATCCAAGTGGGGGTCCTAAGCAAAGAGGGGGGGCAGGAAGTGAGCAGAGGGCTGAGTGCATAGTGGAGCGTCCCCCTCCTCTAGTCAGCAGTCTGGGTCAGATGGACTAAAGTCACGTCTAGTGGCTGGAGGCCAGACCTTTGCCAGCTGCAAGTAATTCTTGCTCAATCTCAGGGTGAGCGGGAGGGGAACAGGCCAGGGAGCCTGGCTTCTCATCCCACCCTGTACCTGCGGGTGCACAGACGACACAGCTGTGAGCTCCACACTGAACACGCCCTTGTGACCGTCCACCCAGCGCATGCCTGGCAGCGCTACCTGTGGGAGGAAAAGGTGGGGTGGGCACAGGCTGACCCTCCCCCATGCATCAGGCCACCAAGCCAGGCCGTGGCCGTGGCACTAGTCATTGCAACATCATGGCCAGGAGAGGAGCCCGGCCTGAGGGAGCAGCAGGGTACCCTGTCCCTAAGTCCATTCCCATTGGACAAAGGGAAAACCCTAGGGGTGGGATGGAGATCCACAGAAAACAGGGTATGTTCACAGAGTGAACATTAACTGGAAAAGCCAATGGCATAAAAATAGCATTCAAAGGGGGAACATGGAGCCACAGGACTTGTTCATCAGCTGGTAGAGGGACAGTGGCAGCCTTGTAATGGGTGGATGGAGGGGACAAAATGGTAGCAGGAGAGCCAGGTGTGGTGGTACATACCTGCCATGCCAACACTCAGGAGAAAGGCAAGGACCAGGAGGTCAAGGTCATCCTTGACTATACAGAATCCCAGGCCTGCCTGGGCTCTGTGTGACCTTGTCAATACGTTTCAGTGAGCAAAAGCTTATGGCTGAGTGTAAGCCGGGACTTGCACAGCAGAGAGGACTGAATCCACAAAACCATTCTCTCTGACTTACACACAGTTCCCGTGGCACACGAGGCCCACCCCCAAAACAACAAAAAAAAAAATAAAAATAAAATCACAAAGGGAAGGGACAGCAAGGCTGGGGGTGGGTCCTTGGCGGGAGGACAGCAAGAGTCTTGGGATATCTGAAGCACGGAGACACACAGGATGCAAAGCCCGCCTACAGAGACGTTCTTGTTAGGGTGGCAGGAGGCACAGGGGACCCACAGGTACCCATCCAGGCCAGCAAGGCTCTCAGGGGCAGTGAAAGGAGGCAGGCAGAAGGCAATGAAGGCATTGGTTGTGGGCACAGGCACGTACATCTGGGGTCAGGACTGAGTAGCTGGGTGGAGGCTGGTCCACAGACACGGGCAGGCAGAAGGGACCAGTTCTCAGGCGGCCATGTTGTAACAGAGGGATCCACTGGGAAGACAAGGAATGGATGAGGGTCAGGTGTGGCTAGAGACATGGGGGACGGGGCAGGGAGGACGCTCTGGGGTAACTGTGGCTTACAGTGAAGCCCACAGGCGTCTCCAGGGCTGTTCCTGGCCGGGGCTGGCAGCTGACATGGTAGAAGGTAAAAAAGAGGTGATGGTTCTCGGTCACACAGGCAGGAAGTCGTAGCTTGAATTCCTCGTAGAATTCAGGAGACCTGGTAAGACAAAGCCGGGGGCTGGGGGCTAGCTATGAAGTGGGCATCTTACGGGATGACTCCCTGCCTCCACGTATCTCATCTGCAGACTGCATCATAAGCCTCTGCTCTTCCTGCTCCGTGCATGCCCTCCCTACACTCGGCCGCCCAACCCCCTCAGCGTCTCCGAGGGTCGGCCCGTGTCTCTGGCACCCAGCCCTGCGTACTTGTTATGGTAGACCACTGGTGTGAAGGCCTCTCGGGTGAATTCGCTGGAGCTCGACTTCCCAAAGATGACCTGTGGAGTGGGGACATGAGGGACCCACTGGGAAAAACCGTGCCTGCTCCGTCCCCTTCCTTCCGGGGCTGGGCCACTGCACTGACCGGCAAGGCCTGGCTCTGGTCTTCGCCTGCCATGTACTGGATCCGCACGGCCAGGTTACGCACAGAGCCCTGGCGACTGCTGAAATTGAGGCTGTGTGGGTACACGAAGAGCAAGTTCCTGGAAAAGGAGGGATTGGAGGGATGAAGGATTCTTTAGAGGGCTGGGGACAGTCATGGGAGAGGTGGGCATGAATCATGTGCATGTAAAACACGGCCACGGAGGGCTGTGACCCCAGGTGACACAAACAGTCATCGGTAGGTGAAACATCTGGATGCACACATCTAGGTTCAGGGAGGTACAAGGCCAGGCTCAGATGGGTACTGAGAGTCAGAGGTTTTCTGTTTTTGTTTTTCTAATTCAAGGTCATCCTGGTCTACATAAGCAAGTTCTAGGCCAGCCAAAGTTACATAGGAAAATCTTCTCTCTAAGAAAAAACAAAAACCAAACAACAACTAACATTCGAGATAGGGTCTTGTCTTGCCCAGGGCAGATCTCAGTTTGCTATTTTGCTAAGGAGGACTTTAAGGTCTTGATTTCCTGTCTCCACTTTCAAAGTGCTGGGGTGACAGGCAAGTGCCACTATTCCTGGCATATCAGGGACTGGGGGTGGAGCCCAGGGCTTTGTGCACACTTTGTGTACTCTACCAGCTCCAGTCCCCGAGGGCCTGAGGTTTGCAAACGTGGCTCAGCAGTTTAGGGCATGCACTGCTCTTTGAGAGGATCTAAGTTCAGTTCACAGCACCCACAGCAGGCAGCTCCAGGGGGACCTGATGCCTCTGGCCTCTTGGGACAACCCTGTCCCCAAACAAAAAATAAATAATTAAAACAGTAAAATAAACCTTTACAAAAGGTGGTCTCACCAGTAACCAGGTGGCATGACTGGCCTCCCCAGGCCACACTACCGCCTTACTGGCCCATTGGAGTTATATATAGGGTCTGTCTCTCAGATACAGAGAGAACCAGAACCTGGGGCCAGAGTCCTGGTCCTGCCTCTTTACCCCAACTATAATTGCACAAACTCCAACTCTGTAGGCCTCTGTTGCTTGAGCTGTATAGTGGGGGGATCTGGCCTGCCAGCTCAGCCTTTGAAACACAGTATCCACAGCCAATAACAATGACAGTCATCATAGAACACCTATGTGGTGGCACCTTCTGGGTGTCAAGCTTCATTTCAAACACTCACCACGAATAACTAACTCCATTTTCCAAGGTGTTAGGGCTGGAACACTCAGTGCCCAGCAAGCCTCCTCTACCTGGGAGCTTCACCTTAGACCTTGTCTTCTTAGAATACGAGAGGATCTAGTTCTGCAGCCCAGGTTGGCCTTGAACTCAAGTTCCTTCTGTCTCAGACTCAGAGTGTAATGTTTCATTTGCAAGGAAAGCAATGGCTGTTCCTTTGGAGTGCCCATAGTGGGTGTCCAACAAATGCTTCGTACTACATGTAGGGTCCCCTAAGTAGAAAAATGGGGTGCAGTGCTTGCCCGGAGTCTTCTAGGAAGTTAAATGGAAGTTAGTATGGATCACAAACTGACCGTGCCGGGAGTCAGACTCCATGACCTTGGAAGGAGGCTGTCATGTCATTTTTGCACCCCTCCCCCACAGCTCTCAGCTCTACCCAGTGACCCCTGCATTAGCTGTTTGCAGGAAGGAGACAAGGAGAGCAGATGACACAGTGCCTGGAGTCCATGCGAACGGCAATCACGAAGAGACCAAAGCTTTGGTGGGGCTGGAGCCCCTAGATAGCCCTCTGGGTGTCTCAGCAACACTGGACATGCTGTGTTGGGTGTGAAGGGAGCCATGGCTCACAGAGGCCATGTCTGCACTTAGATGGGAAACTGAGGCTCAGAGCAATGCTATATATAGTCATACAGACCCTGCCGCTGAGCTCTCCCTGGTCTGAGCTAACCCACTACCCCTCACCCCCACACACAGCTGGCCTTGCATTCTAGCAGCGTGATATCAGCATGGCCTGCTTAGCCATCAGCCTGATGCAACGGCTGAGCCTCTGCCAGGCCCTTGTGCAACAGTGGCTGGTTAACCATTGACGGGGGTGGGGGGTTAATGGAAGCCTGTGATAATAAAAGGTGGCCAGAGAGGCACAGGATCCACACCCCCAAGACTATCAGCCATGGCTGTGCTTGCTCTCTGCCTCCTGTGGGCCTTAGCAACAGCAGTGCGACCTGCCCCTGTGGCCCCTCGGGGTGGTCCAGAGCCAGCTCAATATGAAGAGCTGACCCTGCTCTTTCATGGGGCCCTGCAGCTAAGCCAGGCCCTCAACGGAGTGTACAGAGCCACAGAGGCTCGCCTGACAGAAGCTGGGCACAGCCTGGGCCTCTTTGACCAAGCACTGGAATTTCTGGGAACAGAGGTCAGTCAGGGCCGGGATGCGACACAGGAGCTTCGCACCAGCTTATCGGAGATTCAGGTGAGCACTGGAGCTGGGGTGGTGTTGGGTGGATAAGAGTTTGAGGAAAGCCCAGAACAGAGGAAGAGTGATAAAGTGCGGGGTGACCAAAGCTGACCTAGTGACCTCGCTGATGCCACACCATCCATTGAGCAGGTAGAAGACAACGCTTTACATCTTCGAGCAGAAGCCACAGCCCGATCGCTGGGGGAAGTGACCCGGGCCCAGCAGGCTCTGCGGGCCACCATACGGAGACTACAAGTGCAGCTGAGAGGGGCCTGGCTGGGCCAAGCACACCAAGAATTTGAGACCTTGAAGGTAAGGGGCTCTCAGGCCCTGCTTCCCAGAAAGAAGCCACAACTGAACCCTGGGCTAGAGGACCCTTCAGTTATATGTGGGGTTCCAGCCTCTGTGACCTTCTAGAAGTGACCTTTGCAAGCAAGAGCAAGAACCAGGCACAGCGGTGCTCGCCCGTTGTTCTAGAAAGAACTCCGGAGGCAAGGGCAGGAGAAATAGAAGATTAAAGCCAGCCTTGGCTACAAAGTTAGGCCAGCTGACTTACACAGTGATACCCTGTCTCAAAAAGAACGAGAGAAAGATAACTGGGTATGGTAGCGAATACCCGCAACCCCAGCACTTGGGAGTAAAGGCTGGGGCTTAGGAGTCCAAGGTGATTTCTGGCTAGGTAGACATCTGAGTCAAGACTGTGTGGTACCCGAGACCCTGTCTCAAAATAAATACATGAATGAATGAATAAGGGGTCGACAAGTTAGTTCCGCAGGTAGAGGCTGCCAAGCCCGATGGCCTGAGGCTGCTCCCCAGGACCCACGCGGTGGGAGGAGAGAACCCACTCCCAAAAGCTGTCCCTTGGCTTCCAACATTTGTGCTGTGGCAAATGCACGCATTAAATATAATAAACTTTAAAATAGAGTAAGAGTAGCGACTGTCATTTCAAAGCAAGGGTAGAGTCTCAAAACGCAGGGGGAATGGATACAGTAAGAGCTCAGAAAATGAGCACTGGTACGATGGCATCTGGTGCCATGTACTAAGAACCCAATCAGTACTGTTTGATGTGCATCTATAAACTATACAAAGCAAGTCTTACCTTAGTAGATACCTTACAAATAGGGAAACTGAGGCCAGAGGGTCTTGGACAATTGCTAGGCCACATGGATTGTAATAGAGAAACCTGCAGTGGTCAGGAGATGGGAGGTGACCCAGACCTCCCAGTTAAGGTCTATATGTTACCCCACAGGCTCGAGCAGACAAGCAGAGCCACCTCTTATGGGTTCTCACTGGCCATGTGCAGCGACAGCAGCGGGAGATGGCAGAGCAGCAAGAGTGGCTGCAAAAGATCCAGCAGAGGTGAGCCTGGTGGATTTACTCTGGGGTAGCGAGTGGATATTGCCTAGGTGCACTGAAGGGCACCCCCACCCAGCACTGGCCTTGACTGAGCTCTGTCTCCCTCCCTAGACTCCACACGGCAGCCCTCCCAGCCTGAGACTGCCTGGATGCCACTGAGGACCAGTTGTGCTGCAAGGAACACTGAATGCGCTCCACCAGGCCCAGAGCGGGGCCAACAGAGCTGGCTGCCCATCAGCTGTACCTGGCCAGAGCACCCCGCTTCCAGGCAGAGCAGAGACAGAAGCGAGCAGGTGGGACGGAAGACAGAAGACAGAGCCCTATGGAGGAGGACTGGAAAAAGACATGAGCTCCCTTATACCCACATCCCTCACAATAAAACAGAACAGAGGCAATCTATGAAACACAGTGTCCATGCCTGTTTCTGCAAGCATGCGGGCTTAGTCGACCTAGCATTAGCCAGCCTTGGCAAGTTAACCCTCTGAGAATAAAAACATCGGGAGCTGGAGAAATGAAGGCTCTAGTTAAAAGCACACAGTGCTCTTGTAGAGGACTCATATTTGATTTCCATCTCTCCTATCAGGTGGCTTACAACCACCTGCAACTCCAACTCCCGGGGATCCAAAGCCTGTGCTCTGCTCAACACCTCACATGGGTGCATGTACCCTACACAGGTGGGTGTGCTCAAACACAGGTGCACGTTTCCACACACAGGTGTATGCACCTGCACACAGACACACAGACAATTAAAAATAATAAAAGCCAGGCATGGCAGTGTACATCTTTAATCCCAAGTCTTGGGAGGTATAGGTAATGAGTCTGAAGCCAGCCTGGACTACACAGTGAGTTCTAGGACAGCCAGAGCTACATGGTGAGACCCTGTCTCAACAAATAATAATAGTAACAGTAAATGTTAAAGAAAAAAGGTAGGGATCCTGAGATAGATAATTCAGAGGGCAAGGGTGTCGCCACAAGCTTGGCACCATGAGTTCCATTTACAAAACCCATATGGTAGAAAAGAATTGATTCTGCAAGTTATCCTGTGTGCTGTACCCCTCCCCTAAATAAAATGAAGAAACATGATAGAAAGGTTTTTTACACCAGTTGGACAGCACCTGAGGAGCAGCACCCAAGGTGGCTCTCTGGCTTCCATACACACTCAGACATGCACTCACGTACCCTTAGCACACCCCCCAAGAACACACAATCATAAACGTGCTCATATGCACACACAGGAAGAATGGGGCCTTGCCCAAACCACAGGCTGTACCTGTAACAGGTATGGGGGGCGTAGACCTCACGGGCAGGGAACTCCAGGATCTCCTTGGTGGGCCGTCCTCTGGGGTCAGGGTAGGGCTTGACTTGAAGTAACTCAGGGGACAGGCAGAAGTGCAGGTTCTCAGGCGCAGGGGAGATGTCAATCTTGAGCTGAGCTGGGGAGAAAGGACTTGGTTTTCACCTGCCTCAGCCTCCTAGCCGGGGCACTTCTGCTGCCTCAGCCTCCTAGCTGGGGCACTTCTGCTGGGGCTCTGCCTGTCTCCTGATGCCCTCTGGGGGCTGGACCCATCACCAACTAAATCCCAGTAGCTGCCCTGTTCCTTCCACTGCCTGTCCATGCCCCGGGGCTGGGTCCCTAGTACCATTATCCTCAGCACGGATGCCGAATGATCATGTGAGCAACAGGGCTCTTTATAGGGGGCGCCACACACCGGTCACAGGTCGCAATCGCCTCAGCAGGGACGATGGTCGCCGCATGTCCGCCAGAAACTTGAAAAGGTCTTCATCACTGAGCCGTTCTGCCTCCTGCCAGATACAGGTACCCCAAGGTAAGGGGGCTGAAAGGATAGATGTCCACAGGATAGACGGGGCCCAGGGGGAAAAGTCTTTGTGTTCCTTTCCACTAAGCCCCTTGTCCTATACCAAGGTCACCTGTTTAAAAAAGTTGGTGACAGTTAATGTGGCCGGGCGGAAGCTGGAGAAGCTGCAGGAATCATCCCCACTATAGCCTCGATCCTGGGGCCCCCGACGACGGCGTTCGGCCCAGGTGGGTCTGCGTTCTAGGAGACAACAGCACGGTGGCAGAGCAGGACAGGAGTTGGAGAAGAGTGCCGATAGCAGAGGGAGGGTGACGGGTGAATGCAGAGGTGAGCCAGTAAGCAGTGCGCGTCCTCACCGCCCTCGGAGTCGGAATCCCGGTCCTGTGGCCCGACGCTGCTGACGATGTTGGCCAGGTGCACAGCCGTCCAGGCGAAGGGCATGCGGTAGCGGCCCAGCCTGGTGCAGAACTGCTCGGCGGCCAGGCGCAGCTTCTCCAGCTTCTCTTTGTTCTGTGGGGAGACGCACCCGCCCCCAGCTCAGCGACACCCTCAGGACCTGCCACCCTCAGGACCTGCGCTCCCAACCCTGTCCGGCTCACCCACACATACCTTCACTGTGTCTGCCTCCTTCATCACCATGTAGGGTTCGCAGCACTCGCTGATGTCCCCCTGCTGCAGCACCTTTTCCAGCTGAATGGCAGAAGGGCCCAGAGAGGGCCTCTTTTAGCCCCATTCCAGTCTTCTGGACCCTCCTCGACCCACTTCATTCGAGACTAAAAATGAACCCAGGACTCCTGCTTTCACTACGAAGCTCTGGTTGTTCTGGAACTCTCTGCATAGACCAGGCTGGCCTCAAACTCACAGAGATCCACCTGCCTCTGCCATCTCAGTGTTGGGACTGAAGGTGTTTGCCATTACACCCAGCTCTTTTTCTCTCTCTTTAACAGATTTTTGTTTTTAATTATGCATACGTGTAAGTGCAGTGCCCACGGTGGCCAGAAGAGGGCACTGGATCCTCCCAGCATGGGTGTTGGGATGAGAACACAGGGTGACTTTAACTTCTAAGGCATCTCTTCAGTTTCTCCCTTCCTCCCTGGCTTGCCCGCCACTTCCCCCTGCTTCTTGTTGTTTTGAGACATGTCCACACTGTGTAGCCCTGGCTGGCCTCAGGCTTACTGTGTAAAACCAGGAAGGTCTCAAACTCACCAGAAGACCTCAAGTTCTGCCTGCCTCGGCCTCCCAAGTGTGTGCCCCCACCACCTGGCCTCTTTTTCTTTCTTACACTGGGGATGGAAACCAGGCCCCCGAATGCTGGCTAAGCACTTTACCACTGAGCCACATCCCCAGGCCCTTACTGGAGGATTCTAGGAAGGCCCTCTACTGCTGAGCCATGCCGGGTTCCATTTTTGTTTTGAAATTGAGTCTCATGGGACTCTGACTTTGCTCTGCTTGGCTTTTTGTCAATCTGACATCAGCCAGGGTTCTCTGGAAAGAGGTAACTTCAATGGAGTAAACACCTCTCCTCAGACTGGGCCTGTAATCCGGTCTGTGAGGCATTTTCTTGACTGATGTGGGAGGCATCATGGGGGGTGGTGTCTTGCAGGCTGACACATGGAGAAGAGTGAGTCAATAAACAGCGCTCCTCCATGGCCTCTGCTTGAGGTTTGGCTCCAGGTTCCTGCCCTGTGTTCCTACGCTGACTTCCCCTCATGATGGAGTACAGGCTGAGAGATATAAACTGAAATACATCCTTTTCTCCCCTTGGTGTTCGTCCGAGCAGCAGAGGCTTGCTGTGGCCTCCGTGTCAGCTGGGCTGAGACACATGTGGCCATGGCACTTGCTACATTTTTGTCAGTCCACACTGAAGCCATGACCTGGAACCCAGGGCCGGACTCCAGTCCTGAACATCTCAGGAGTTGTGGGACCGCAGACAAGGTTCTCATGTATTCTGTGCCTCAGTTTCCCCATCTATAAAATGATGGCCATTGCAACCTTCACCTTGAGGAACTAGACCTCAAGGACCTCTTCCTTTTGGGACAGGGTCTGGTTTAGCTGTTCAGTACAGCAGGCTGGCCTCAGAGTACTTGAGTTGCTCTATTGCTGAAACCTAACCATGACTGAGGAGATCCCAGAATGCACTAGCTCACCTTTCCTGCCCCATCCACAGAAAGAGACTCAACTGTTCCTGTTTGCTTTTAAGACAAAGTTTCTATAAGCAGCCCAAGCTACCTGAAACTCACAATCCCCCTGACTCAGCCTCCAAATGCTAGAATCACCGTCTATCTCACTGAACCTCTGGGTCTAATCATCACCCCCTTGCAGGGCCCCAGTAGGCACCTTGACAACCAGGAAGATGTCAGGAGAGGGGTAGGTCACGGAGAAGATGGCAGAGCGTGCCAAGGTGGAGATGGCTGGGTGGGTGCCATGGGCCCTGAGTAGGCCCTTAACGGAGTCCGAGTTTAGGTCAAAGTAGAAGTTTTCTGAAATCTGGGGATATGAGAGGAAGCTAGCTGAGAGACACTGCGCCACAGCCACTCCATCAAGGAGTAAGGGGGAAAAGTTGACGAGGAGGAGGGAGGGAGGACGGAGAGACAGAGAGGGAGGATGACTGAAAAAGAGGTAGGGAAGGAGGGATCAAGGAAGAAGGGGAGAAGGGAGGGAGGAGGGAGGGAGATAGGGAGGGAGGAGGGGGGGGGGGGAGGGAGGGAGGAGGAAGAAGGAGAGGGAAGAGGGAGGGCACCTACCTTCTTCTTCTCCCGCACATCATACAGGGCCAAGGTGCCAAAGATGGGCTCAATTTCAATCTCAAACCTGTGGATAAATGGGGGCCAGCTCTTTGAGAGCTGTCATCCACACATTCTGTGCCTGCTTACCCACTGCTTCCCCCCTCCTTCCTTTTGGGACAGGGTCTGACCCAGGCTGGCTTCCAACTCCATTTGTACCCAAGAATGACCCCAATTCCCAGTTCCCCTGCCGCTGTCTCTCAAGTGCGGGATCACACCCTGTCTCCACAGTGCTGTGGATGGACCCAGGCTTCCTGCATGCAAACATTCTACCACTGAAAATGGAAGCACTCTGAACTACACCCCTGCCCCAACTGTTTTAGGCAGCCTGCGCCTGTACTAACTTCTATCTTCCCCCTCCCATCAGGTGAGTGTGTGTGGGAAAAGTCTGTGCACAGAACAGCACAGGTATCCTGCCTCAGAGCATGACACTTGTAAAAACCAGAGTCTGGCTCTGGCCTGCCCACCCTCCTGCTGAGATACAGGGTGGATGGAAGGGTGGAGCCTGGCTCCTACCCGGCCAGTCCAAGACTCATCAGGAGCAGCCCCCAGGAGCAGCCAGAAGAGCGTGGGAATGGAACTGAACAGGAAGTGCACTCTGAGCCTGCCCCTGCCGCTCCTGGACCCTGTTTTTGTCTGTATCAGAGCAGGAAACAGAACTCCATTCTGGCCCTCAGCCCCAATCTCAGAAGCTGGGAAAGCTGTGGGCTCACATAGTCATTCAGCAATGCTCACAGGACACAGGACCAGGGAGTGGATCACAGATTTGGAGGTCTTGGGACCCAGAGAGGCACATCTTGGGGGACCAGACTGTTAGTGAGGGGGCTGGCTGAGGGTGGGGGTCAGCATGTGCTGCTGCAGAGGCAGCATGTGTAAGCACCTGTGCCTTCTGAGAGGGGAAGGAAAAGCCCACGGTGCCCTGGCCGTGGGGAAACCCACAGGGCTGCCTCTGACTCACTTGAGTGACAGGCATTTCACCAGGATCCTCTGTCCAAAGTGCTCTCGGGGCGGCTCGGGGCGGCTGCAGCGCTCTACAGCTTCGTCCTGCAAGGGGGATGGGAGGCTCTGGGATGTATCCCTCAGGGAGGTTCTAGGATGCCTGGCCCAAGATCAGCTAACCCCCAGCTTGAGCTCCCCATGCCCCAAGCCTGATGGCACTGCAGTCAATGACCTGCTGCCAAGCGTTGCTGTATGTTGGTCCCCAGCCCCGAACGCCTTCTCTCCTTCTCACTCAGCTGTAATCCCAGCATCAACCATGTAGCACTGCTGGGCCAATTCAGGCATACGCAGTAAGTGCCGACAGATTTTATTTGGATAAATATCAGCGTTTAAAGCAAGCATTCGCTAAATGCTGCATGCATACAAAGTCTCTGATCTAGCAGTCAGGTTTCCAGGCATGCTACCGTGAGAGGATGGTGGATGTATAACCAAGCAACCACACCTCACGCCAGCACAGTTTCCACACACCACACCAGACAGTCAAGGCTTCAGCTCACACCTCATGCTTTTGCCCAACTGCAGGCTAATGCAGGAATCCCAAACACATCTAATGTAGCTTAAACTATGTATGACACTCAATAAGATAGCTATCTGCATTACACATTTTTCTTTGTTTTTTTGTTTTGTTTTGTTTCAGAGACATGGTCTCATGTAGTTCTGGCTGGCCTCAAATTCACTATATTGCCAAGGCTGACTCTGGACGTCTGATCCTCTTACCCCCATCCCCTAAGTGCTGGGATTATAAGTACGAGGCACCAAGCAAGCTTGAATGCATTTCTGACTTATGTACTTTGATCTTCAAATAGGTTTACTGGGGCATAACTTCATCACAGCCAAGGAATATCTCCATTCGCTACATACCCAGAAAGTAGTGACTAAATAAATATACACGTATACAGCCAGCACTCAATAAATGGTCAAATAAAACATAATGGTATGCACTAGATGTCAAATAAATGTCTAGATAAATAGGCATATATGGTAGGTGGTCAGCACACTGGTTGATTAAATAGAGAAGTATACAGTAGGTGTACAGTGGAGATATGCCTAAATAACTGTAGAGATAAGCATTTGGTGTTCAATAAATGAAGATCAGACAAATGAGGATCCAAATAATGTCACTAGCTGAAGATGGGTATACAGTAGGCAGCCAATCAATGTTGGCAGATGCTGGTCTGGAAGCAGTGAGCCAGCCAATGAACACCCACCTCATCAGGTGCCGGGTACAAGGTGAGCAGGGCGGGGGCCCGGTGCTGCCGCCTGAGGGCTTCATTGCGCCGGTCCACATCCTCAGGGGCCGCCCTCTCCAGCAGTGTGGGCAGCAGAGAGTCTGCAGCCAGGTTCCTCAGGCTGAAGATGCCTGAGGCCCCACTGCTTCGAGGGGTATCCTCTGGGGAGCCTGAGCAGTGCTGGGAGTCCTCCTGCAGGAGAGACTGTGCAAGTACTGAGCGCCAACTGCAGGCACGCACTCTCCTGAGTCTGTCCCTGTAGACATCTGCTCCACATGGAACAGAAGCCGAGGGGCAGGCCAGGTGGGGTCCCCACTACGGGGGTCATTTGGGGGCCTGGCTGGCCTCTCCAGAAACTTCTGGAAATATTTCTATGCAGGGAACTCTTTACCTCTGCTGTGGGAGGTTACCCCACCCACAGGAGACTCTCCTCTAGCCAACCAGAACACTCCTAATAACTTCTCTGTCTTTAGGCTAAGCTCAAAATGGCCCCACTGGCCAGCCCCAAGGATTAACTACAAGGCAGGCCCTGGGGCTGGACCAATCAGAGCCTTCTTTGAGCCTCCGTTCACCACTGCCAGGGAAGAGGAGAGTTCTCGCCTCCAAGTGTGTGGCTGACCTAGGACCACCTACAGTTAGCTGTGCTCACAGCCCTGACTCAAATCTAGTTCAGCTCTGTGACTTTGAGTCTCTGACCTGACTACCAGCCTCGGTTTCCCCTCCTGCATCTTGTTTCCTTATTTATTCTTCATCTCCCTCCAGGCCCCTACCCCAGCTGAGGATGGAACCCGTGCCTAGCATCTGCACAAACACTTTCCTACTGAGCTAAATCCATACCTCCTGAAATACATCCTACAACAAAGGAATTCACACTAGTAGTAACAGATGATTTTTGGTATATAGTAAGTGTTCAGTAAATGCTGACTAAGAAAATATAAGCATTAGTAACTTTGTTGTGCCTCAGTTTCTCTGTTTGTGAAGAAGGATACTGGTTGTGATCCCACTCACAGGATAAAAGGAGCACAGGCAGAAAGCCATCAGTATACACTAAGCACTCAATAAGTGTGCATGATTGTGACTCTTTCCACTCCTGAACGAGGCTTACTTCACTCACTGGGATCAAGGCTAACCGGGCCACTTTCCTGAGTCTGACCCCTCAATGACCCCAGTCAGGGCCCCTTACCACATCCTCAGGACCTGTCCTCTCATCTCCAGGGGTATCCTGCTCGAAGACCTGGCAGGTGAGGCCTTTCTGACGTTCCCGCTGAGTCTCTGTAGTGATGGGGCTGTATGCTGTACTCAGGTGCTGGTACCTAGCAGGAAGGTGGGGTGGGGCTAAGCAGGAGGCGGGGCTGGGGACTCTGACCTGTGATGAGCCCACATGACACCTACCTTTAACTAAAGAAGTCCAACTGCTCATAAAAGGAATAGTGGGTGGATAAGCAGAGGAACCAACCACAAACAGTGCAGCTCTTTGACCTTCCTTCCCCTCCCATGAGCTGCTCTGGGTAAGACCCACCTTCTGTGCACAATGACCCAGTCCTCTGAGTACATCTCCACCGCAGCCCTCACCTGGGTGTCCAACTTTCTACAGCAAAATACAAGCAGGGTAAACAGAGATGGGGTGAACATTTCCAAAGGCCTTGGAGAAAAAGACTATAGATACTAGTGCTCAGGACGCTGAGGCAAGGGGATTTCTGTGAGTTACAGACCAGGCTGGGACACAGTGTGAGACTGTGAGAATACAGCCCGGTGGCTGGCTTCATGTACCCCAAGCCTTGGGTCCAGTCTCAGCACTGCATAAACCAGGCGACGGCATGCCGACCTCCCGGTGGGGAGACAGAGGCAGGAGAACCGGATGTCCAGGACCTAGTCTGGGCTATATGAGACCCTGCCTCAAAACACACAAATAATGGGGTCCAGAGATGGCTCAGCAGTTAAAAGCACTGGCTGCTCTTCCACAGGACTCTAGTTCAGTTCCCAGCAACCACATGGTGGCTCACAACCACTGGTAACTCCAGTTCCAGAGGATCCAATGCCTTCTAGCTACCATGGGCACCAGTTACATAGGCGATACCCAGAATTACATCAGATAAATCACCCATATGTGTAAAATAAAATAAATCTTTAAAAAGTAAAAAAGTTGTTGCTGGAGAGACGTGAGGCCAGTGGGGTGCTTGCCACGCAGGCACGCAGCCACACAGGCATGAAGACTACCATTCACAAGTCAGCACCTGCAAAGCAGGTGGTCATGGTGGCCTGCCCCTGGTCTCAAACTCAGAAAGCAGAAGCAGGGGGTTCCTAGAGTGAGCTGGCTAGCAAGACTAGCCAACCTGGCGAGCTCTGGGTTCAAGTGAGAAACCCTGCCTCAATATATTAGAAAAAACAAGACAGAGGAAAATTCCTGAAGCCTGAACCTGCACACTTATCAACTGAGTGCATACACATACATACATACACACTCACATACGTACATACACACACAGAGACACATGCATACACATAGTATACACATACATACATACATACACACAGACACACACAGTATACACAAATATACATATATACATACACACATACATACATACATACACACAGAGAGACACATGCACACACAGACATACATACACAGATATACATACACAGACACATACACACACACAGTATACACACATATACACACAGACACGTATGCATATACAGATATACACAGACACATGCACACACACAGTATACACAGAGACACATGCACAAACACTACATAATACATCCACAAACAACAACAAAATACTTTTAGTCAAAGAGGCAACAATTGAAGGCTCAGAAAGACAGAGATTTGTCCATGGCCACACAGGTGTCCAGAGCCTGAAGGTGGACCTGGGAGTGTGAGACTCTGGGAGAGGGAGTGGGGTTTGTGTGTGTGTGCAGAACGCACCCATCCTCTGGCACCCCAGACTCTGTGGTCCGACATTCTCGGGGCTGCCTCAGTAGTTCTAAGTCATCAGCTGGAAACTCTATCAAGTCCCTGAGGGGACCGGGCTCTACTTCAGGTGGCCGGCTCAGAAGCACATCCTCGAAGTCCAGGGGTTCGATGGCCTCCGTCAGAGGAACCTGATTAGAGTACAGCGGCCATGGTGCCCCTGGTGAGAGGCTGGGAGTATGGCCACAGCTGACTTTAGCCTGCAATAGGGGGTGGCTGGAGCTCCTGAGGCTGCTGGGGCAGCTGAGGGTCTAGGGGAGCCAGTGAGCTCAGACTTTCCACAGCAGCCTGGCTAGGGGCCTGCCCCCTCCCTCCAGGGACTCCAGGAAGGAAATCACACCCTGGTGTCTGGAAAGACTCTAATGGTAAAAGGAATGGCCAGAGACAATTCCTGAGGCCCCACCTCTTCCCTTTGCGGCAGGAAGTCTCTTCCAGCCCCCAGCCTGGGGCCCCATCTGGGTGGTCCAGGAAGTTGGTGTCACCCCTGACCACCCTTGGAACACACACACACACACACACACACACACACACCCCTGCATCTGTGCAGATGGGTGAAGGACAAGGACTCCCTCCTCCCTGGCCACTGGTCCAAGCAGCGTCAGAGCAGCGCGTACCCCTCTGCCGCCAGCCACTGGGCAGGGACTCACCCCCAGGGAACTACTGGAGCGTCGGCTGGAGTGAGGTGAGCCGCTGCGTTCCCGGGACACCTGCTTCCGGACCTCAGCAGCCACAGTCCTGGGAAGACAGGAAGGGGGTGTGGGAAACAAGGAAACTCAGGCTGGTGTGGTACAGGAATGGGGGTAGTTTTATTTGTAGGAGAGACCTCGGTAATGAAAGGAAAAATAAAAACAAGGGCTTAAAAACAAAAACCAACAAAAGAGGCCTGTGAGGTGGCCCAGCAGGTAAAGAGCACTGCCCTGCCCCTGAGCATGAAAACCTGAGCCCAGTCCCCCACCCCAGACTCACATGGTAGAGAGAACTGAGTCCCCAAAGGGGTCCCCTTACTTCGAGTGCCACACATGTAAACAAACTAAAACCAACAATGAGCTGGGGTGTAGCACAGTGGCAGAGGGCTGGCCCTGAGACTGACAGGCCCTGGATTCCATTGCCAGCACCACAAAACTAAATAAACAGATGATACAGGATGCAGGCCTCTCTGCACCCCAGTCCCTCCCTACACCAAACACAGACAGGGAAATATCACTGTGCCAGACTTGAAGGAGTGACAGGTTCACCCCTCCCCCACAGCCCCCCCTCCGAGACGTGCCCCCTCCATCTTTCCTGGTTATTCTAAACACAACAATCCAGCACCCCCAGCTCTGGCACAACACTCCTGCCTCCCAGCCTCAGTTTACCCACTCACAGATGCCCTGACCTCAGAGGTCAGAAGAGACCAGAGGACCTCTCCACTGACATTCTGTTAAGTGTGTGCTCTCAGGGAGTCTAGGATGAGGCTGCCAGCGTGGAGTCCAAGAGGACCCTGGGTTCAGAGAAAGGCACTGAAGCACTCCGGGAGCCCCGGTCCTGAAGGTGGTGGTTCTAGGTAGTCAATAACAGTTACATTGTTTTGCAGTGCTAGGACGACCTCTGGCCTGCTGCGGCTGAGGCACACCCTTAGCCCCTCACCGGAGGATTCACTGCAGGGACTCCAGCAGAAGCCTCGCCCCCAACCCTGCCCTCCATCTCTTACAGCCTTTCAGCACAAGAACCCGGAGGAAACACGCAGACCTGGCTTGTGGGAGAGAAATAGCCTCGGTTCACACTAGGTTCTAGGGAGCTGCTCCCTCCAGGACAGCTGAGGGTGGGAGAGGGCTTCCCTGTGGCACAGGATGGAATTAATGAGAGCCTACCCCAGGCTTCCCCGTGGTCTGACCTGCCCACGTGAGCTGAATTGGAAAGGCAGCCTGATCCTGTCAGTGTGTACCTTTGAGCAGGGAGGACATCTTTTGGGATCCTGGGGACCCCTCCTCACACTTACTAATCAAGAGCTCTGGTGATGAGCACCCCAGCCCATCTGTCATAAATATCAAATCGCCAAAAACCTACCCACTGTGCCTCCCCCACGCACACACACACACAGGCATGTCATTGCATGCCCCGTCCACGTGCAAAATAAACCAGCTAATGTTTCTAGAAGGCAGCACTGTGCTACTGCTGCAGCTCCTAGGCAGGTGCTTGCTTTGCATGCCTGAAGCCCCTGGTTTACCGAGCAAAACCAAAACCAAGGAAAAGACAATTGATGGGAGGTGTTTTCCTCCTACCACGATTGGGTCTTGGGAGTCAAACTCAAGATGTCAGGCTTGGTGGCAAGCCCCTTACCTGCTGGGCCCTCTCACTGACCCTAGCAACAAAAGTAAACTTAGATTTATTATTTTATGTGTTTCACTGCTTTGCCTGCTTGTATGTATGTATGTATGTATGTATGTATGCATGTGCACCATGTGCATACCTTGTGCCCTTGAGCTTAGAATGAGTGTAGTGTCTTGTCTCCTGGAACTGGAGTTATGGGTGATTGTGAGCTACCATGTGGGTGCTGGGAACTGAACCTGAGTGAGCTTACCTAACCCTGAGCCATCTCTCCAGCTCCAGTGAAATTAAAGTGAAAATGAACTCAAATTTGTACTCAAATTCAAATCTCCAAGCAGACTCCCCTGAAGCCAGAGGCACTCAGAGCCCGTGAGATTATTATTTTCTAAAAGATGTCAGGACAGGGGCGAGGCTGTGGCTGGAGAAAAGGACAGGGAGGGTGGGACACTGCTGTTGACCTTTGAAAACAGTGATGGATCTGCAGCCTCAGTCATGGGGGCCACGGAGTACATGTTCGAAATTCCTACGATGGCCTTATGCCCCATTACCAGGGAGGAGCTGGGTAGAAGTGCATGCAACGTGTGTGTGTGTGTGTGTGTGTGTGTGTGTGTGGCCAGCGTTCACACCTATGTACAGATGGAAGTCAGAGGTCAACTTCATGTGTCCTCAGGAACCATCCATCTGTGACTGGCCTGGGGCTCTCCATCAGGACAGGCTGCCGGCCAGTGAGCTCCCGGAAGTCACCATTCTCCATCCTGGAGCTCCCAGAAGCCACCGTTCTCCATCCGGCTATCTGAAGCCACGATTCTCCAGCCTCGGCTACCAGAAGCCACCATTCTCTATGCTCCCAGAGCCCCGGGGTTACCGCTAGTCCCAGCTGGCTCGTCCTCGGATGTCAGGCACTGAGCTCAGCGCCTCATGCCTGCATGGCTGTTTGCTGACTTTGTTATCTTTCTAACCCCCAAAACATCTTTTGGGACAGGGTCTTGTACAGTCTAGGCTGGCCCCAATTTCACTACGTAACCCAGGCTGGGCTTGTACCACAACCCTCCTTCCTTCCATGGCTCACATGCTAGGGTAACAGGCATGCACCATTACGCTGAGCCTCCTCCGTATTTCTTCCCCAAATCTGACTGGCTTAGGTTACGTGTCCTGGTAGAAGACCTCCCCTCCTCAGGGGGGTTCTCTGAGTAGCCCTAGCCATCCTGGAACGTGACTTGTAGACCAGGCTTACCTTAAACTCAGATCCACCTGCCTCTGCCTCCAAGTGCTGGGATTAAAGGTATGCACCACCATTGCTGGCAGAAGACATTTCTAAGAACAGAGATAGTCTGCAAATGGCTCAGCAGGTAAGGGCATTCACCACTAAGTGTGATGACCTAAGTTTGACCTATGCAAAGGGAGAGAGACCCAGCAACATCCTCAAGTTGACCTCTGATCTCTCACCTGTGCTGTGATACCTGTGTACACACACACACACACACACACACACACATACACATTGTGCAATAAGAGTATTTTTTTTTAAGAGGCAATACACTAAGTTGAATTGACTGAGTTTCCACAAATCAAGTCGCAAGTGCAACAAGAGACATTGTAACAACATCTTAGGCTGGCAAAGTTTACAGGGCCTATCCTTATAATGGGAAGGAAGAGACGCCAGAAACACTTGAGAGATGGCTCAGCGGTTAAGAGCACTGACTGCTGTTCCAGAGGTCCTGAGTTCAATTCCCAGCAACCACATGGTTCTCACAACCATCTGTAATGGGATCTGATGCCCTCTTCTGGTGTGTCTGAAGACAGCAACTGTACTCACATACATAAAATAAATAATTAAGTCAGAAACAGGGTCTTAAAATAAATAATTAAGTCAGAAACAGGGTCTTAAGCATGTTCCCACTTCTGTCAAATGACTCCACAGAAAACCACACAAACCTTCCTTTGAGCATATATTCTTAACGACACAACACCCAGAAAACTCTCTTACCACAGAGACACAACTCAGAATCCATGTCCAAGGATCCCCCAGTTTCCCCCAGTTCATGGACCAGTTTAGACCAGTTCATGGACCAGTGAACGGCCCTGCCTCAAAAAACAAGATGGAGGGAGGCTGGCTGGCAAGATGGCTCAGTAGTAACTTGCTGCCGGAGTCTGATGACCCAAGTATAATCCCAGGAAACCACAAGTAGAAAGAAAAGGCTCCTACAAACATCCTGTCACACTCGTGTGTGTGTGTGTGTGTGTGTGCGCGCGCGCGCGCGCACGCACACACAGAGAAAGAGAGAGAAAGAGAGAGGGAAGGAGAGAGGGAGGAATACATGTGTGCACACACAATAGGTAAATGCAAAAGATATGCATTTTAAACATTAACCCTACACAACACCTCATGTGTTCATCCTGGCACCCAGCAAGCTGAGGTAGGATTGCGGGGATTTCAAAGCCAGTTTGGGCCACACAGTTCCAGGCAGCTAGGATAGAGTGAGACCCTTTCTCAAAACAAAATAAAGCAAACACAAAAGCAAGGTGCTGCAGATGTGGCTACCATTGAAACTGAGTGTGGCAGCGCATGCCTGTTCGCCCAGCACTGGGGCAGGAGGCCCAGGAGTTCACGGCCGCTCTTGGCTACATAGTGCATCTGAGGTTCAGTGTGGGCTACGTTACGCAGTCCCAGACTAAGAAAACATAACGAAGTAGAACCAAGACTCTATTCAGTCCACTGATGTTTGGTTTTTCTGGGATTAGTGGGTGAACTCAATGGATAGGTGAGGTCTGTGTGCAGAAACATCTATTTATCTACCAGGCTGCTTGGGAAGTCTTGGGCTTCCTCACTGCATTAAGGGCCCAGGATCATTCTTACCCTGGGCTCTGCAGCTATGCTCCTACACAAGACCCATCCTTCCCACTTGAGCCAGGACTTAGGAGACACAGTATGATGGGGAAACAGAAAACTGCCCAACTGCTCTGCCCCAGATCACAACCTCCTCTATCCAGAATACTCCATGGCTCTCAAAGTTCCCCTTCTGGTACAGGGGCTTATAAAATCTACTCCTATTGGTCCCTCTGTGGCCCCAGGACCTTTGCAGTTGCTTCTTCCCTGGATGATGGGCAGATCACCTCCTTCCCTCCTTTAGGTCTGTGCTTAACTAAACCTAGTCGACCACTGAGACCCTACCCCGCCTTTCCTGGCTTTAGATTCCCACCACACCACTGACACATCTATGCTTGTCCCGCCACAGCAAAATCCAAGAACGGGGCTACTTTCTTGCATCTCCACCAGGGTGGGATACACAGAGTAGCTTCTCTCACCTAAGGGTGGCCAGACAGCTCTCCAGTGGATCGGATACCAGAGACGATTACTTAAGCCTACCCCAGATTTGAGCCTCTCTCACAATCCAGTGGCCAAGGAAAGGGATCCCCCAGCATCTGTCGCCTGTCCCCTCCCCTGTCTGCCCACCAGCTGGTTCAGTCCCCAGCCCCCTCGGCCCCCTCCCACGCCCAACCGGTGCTGGGAGAGGCTGAGGCAGGAGACTGAGGGGCTGTCCCCAGCTGTCCCCCAGCTCCAGCAGCTCCCTCTTCTTCCCAGACAGCTGGGTCCTGGGACCCTGGGCGGGGGAGGGGTGCGAATATCCTCAGGCTGGCGAAAGGAAGGACAGCAAAAGGGTCGGAATTCAGCCTAGCACTCTCGGAACCCGGCCCGCACCGACCCAGGATGCGCTTCCTCCTCCGGGAAGTCCTCGGGGAGCACGGCACGGCCCCGCTGCCCGCCAGCCCCCAAACTCGTCCGTCCAGCCCAGGACGGCGGTGACCGCGGCCGCTCTCACTACCTGTTGATCTTGTGAGCGAAGGCGCGGCGCTCCGAGGCCGCCATGACGCCCCGCGTCCCGCCGCAGCCTCCCGAGTCTGGGCAGCCGGGATGGGCGGGGCCGGCGCGCGGGAGAGGCGGAGCCTGCACGGATGGGGCGGGGCCTGCGCTTCAACCCGCCTCAGCGGCGGAGCCAGGACTGGGATGACGCCGGGTCTTCTCGGGGCGTGGTGGCGAGGCAGAGCCTACTCTAGGATGGGGAGGAGCCTTCTCTGGAAGGAGGCGGGGCTTTCCTTAGGATAGGGCGGAGCCTTTTCTGGGATGGCGCGGGGCCAGCACTGAGACTGGGACAGAAACGCTGGGGATGGAGAGGAGACAGCGCTGACGGAAGGATGGAGCCAGGCTGTGATCGGGGCGTCGCTACTCGGGGATGAGGACCGGGATAAGGCTGGAGAGGTGAGGATCTTTTGTGGGCGTGGCTTTGTGAGGGGCGGTCCTTGATGGCCGGGACATTGTGAGTGGCTCATCTCTGAGATGGGCTGGTCATTGGGAGTTGGGGACCAGGTAAAGCAGGGTATGGGTGGGTGTGGAGCAGGGGCGGGGCATGGAAAGGACTGTTTCCTTCCACTGGGATCAAGATGGGGAAACAGTCGTCAGGGGAGAAAAATACTAAAATACTGAACAGCAAAACCTGTTAGGTCCCCGCTTGACCCGGAGGCACTCTGCCTAGAAAACACCATCAATGTCAGGCAATAATTTCTAAGGTTTTGTTTATAGACGTGCAGGGGACATAGGTGGAAAGAACTGTTATTTACCACTATTAACAAATGGGTAAACTGAAGCCTAGAGGTATGGAGGCTTTTGCTTAGTAGCCCTCAAAAGGGCCCAATCTCTGGGATGCGGTAGAGAGGTGGATGAGTCCAGCTAAGCTCCGGGGTGTCACTCTAGGAGGTGTGACTCAGAAAGCTGGTATCGATACCTGAGGGAGCCAAACCGGAAGCTTCTGACTACTTGAAGTTGTAAAGATGTCTTCATTAATCTGTGTCCTGAAATATCTTCCCTATAGCCCTTTTCCCAACAACAGTTTTCCTAGAATTTTTTCAGTCCTGGCTCATCTTTGGATACGCCAATTGTCTACTGCCTCCACACCTTCTCCTGAGAAGCTTCAGCCTTCTGAGCGGTCACAGTCAAAACAGTCTAGGGAGGGTAGGTAGTTGTGCAACACTGGAAATGTCTGCCTCAGAGCTTTTACACATATTGTTCTTTT